AGGTCCCTTAGGTGCTGACCCTCTAGGCACGAGAGTTCGTCAGCACCTTCCCGCAGGGTATTTTTCCTGGCGGGCTGTTGGCTCACCTATTATCATGCCAGGTAGCATGGACAGACCAAGCGCACTTGGGGTATCCATACTTACAGGCTCATCATCAGCCAGCTAGAGCCGTCGAAGGCGACATTTTGGCAGCCTTCGAGAAATCTCTTGTCAAACGACAACTCGGGACTATTGCGCTGCACAGCACTGACTGGTGCATGTAATCAGCCTTGGCTTGGCACGTTCAGCCTTGTGCCTATCGATAACATTTTCAATCATGACTTCCTAGTTGCCATTTTTTTAGAAAACCGACTCACGCATTTCTTCAGGCTTCCTTGGTGTCCGTGGTGACGGCGACATCTAGATAGGTAGTCTTCCAAACATATTACTCGTCTCCACAAGCGATACTGCCGTCCTTTGGGCCACAAATCTGTACTTCTTGTCCGACTCTCCGTCCGCGACCCCACGAGCATCAAATACGCCATGACGAGCCGCTCAGGCGAATATTCAGAAGGCGCACCAGCCAAAAGACAGAAGACATCTTCAGAAAACACGGATCCGCGAAACAATCCGTACCTGGCGCACATGTACGAAGATCAGAGCAATGGCCACAGCAACGGCTCTGTAACGCCTCCTACGCGAACTGGCACCCCACTCGACAATATGGACAGACATAAGAGTACCGCGAAGCAGGCGCAAATGGCTGAGGATGGCGACACCAACCCTTTTACGGGCCGCACATTCTCCGACCGCTACATCTCGATCCTGAAATCTCGACGCGATCTGCCTGTCCATGCTCAGCGCGATGAGTTCCTCCAACTCTATCAGAAGTCACAGATCCTCGTCTTCGTTGGCGAAACTGGGTCCGGAAAGACCACGCAGATCCCACAATTTGTGCTATATGATGATATGCCACAGCGGCATGGCAAGCTCGTTGCGTGCACTCAGCCTCGCCGAGTCGCTGCAATGTCGGTCGCGGAGCGTGTTGCCAATGAGATGGATGTCAAGCTAGGCGAGGAGGTAGGTTACAGCATTCGTTTCGAAGACATGACGGGTCCAAAAACGATATTGAAATACATGACCGACGGCATGCTGCTACGAGAAGCAATGAACGACCACGAGCTTAAGAGATACAGCACCATTATCCTTGACGAGGCTCACGAGCGAACACTTGCCACCGATGTTCTGATGGGATTGCTCAAGGAGGTTGTACTGCGCAGACCTGACTTGAAGCTCATTATCATGTCTGCAACGCTCGACGCCCAGAAGTTCCAGCGATATTTCAATGATGCTCCTCTGCTTGCTGTTCCCGGCCGTACCCATCCTGTCGAGATCTTCTATACGCCTGAGCCAGAGCGAGATTACGTTGAGGCTGCTCTTCGAACTGTCCTTCAGATTCACGCGACCGAACCAGAGGGCGACATCCTCCTGTTTCTTACCGGAGAGGAAGAAATCGAAGATGCCTGTCGCAAGATCTCTCTTGAAGCAGACGAGATGGTTAGAGAAGCGGATGCTGGGACGCTGAAAGTCTATCCTCTTTATGGTACGCTGCCACCTGCGCAACAACAGCGGATCTTTGAGCCGGCACCTCCACCTCGTGGCAAGAACAAGCGCCCAGGCAGGAAGTGTATCATTGCTACAAACATTGCCGAGACGTCATTGACGATTGATGGCATCGTGTACGTGGTTGATCCTGGCTTCTCCAAACAGAAGGTGTACAACCCTCGGATCAGAGTGGAGTCTCTTCTGGTGTCTCCTATCTCCAAGGCTTCAGCCCAGCAGAGAGCTGGTCGTGCTGGTCGTACACGACCAGGAAAGTGCTTCCGCCTGTATACTGAAGGTGCTTTCAAGAAGGAGCTGATTGAGCAGACCTACCCTGAAATCCTACGGTCCAATCTGTCGTCGACTGTGTTAGAGCTGAAGAAACTTGGCATTGATGATCTGGTCCACTTCGACCTGATGGATCCCCCCGCACCGGAGACACTGATGCGGGCGCTGGAGGAGCTCAACTATCTAGCCTGTCTTGACGATGATGGCAACCTCACCACCATGGGCAAACTCGCATCGGAGTTCCCTCTTGACCCAGCTTTGGCAGTCATGCTAATTTCCTCGCCTGAGTTCTATTGCTCAAACGAGATTTTGAGCTTGACCGCTCTCTTGTCCGTGCCTCAGGTGTTTGTCAGACCAGCGTCAGCACGGAAGCGGGCAGATGAGATGAAGAACCTGTTTGCTCATCCGGACGGCGACCATCTCACTCTCCTCAACGTCTACCATGCTTTCAAGTCGGACGAAGCTCAGGCCAATGCCCGCCAATGGTGCCATGACCATTTCCTCAGCTTGCGCGCCTTGCAATCGGCCGACAATGTCCGCCTCCAGCTGAAGAGGATAATGGAGCGTTCCGAACTGGAGTTGGTGAGTACTGACTTCCACGACAAGAAGTACTACGAGAACATTCGGCGTGCTCTCGTGTCTGGCTTCTTCATGCAAGTGGCCAAGAAGGAGGCGAATGGCAAAACATATGTCACGGTCAAGGACAATCAAACGGTGCTCATCCATCCAAGCACTGTACTGGGACAAGAGGCAGAATGGGTCATCTACAATGAGTTCGTGCTCACCAGCAAGAACTACATTCGAACGGTGACAAGTGTGAAAGGGGAGTGGCTGCTTGATATCTCGCCTGCATACTATCAGCTCGACAGCTTTCCCAAGGGAGAGATGAAGACAGCGCTGATGAGGGTGGCGGATAGGGTCGCTCGGAGAGAAAAGATGCGGGCCACCAGATGAAATGTAGACGAGGTGGTACAGATATAGACGTATCGTTGTCGTTGAATCGACGGGGCTTGGCAGTTGTGCACGCTAGCCGTTTGGGGATCTTTGGTCCCTTCGATTCACCGACAAGTTTTCCGTTTTCACCAGACTCTCAATCTTCTGCAGCTCCTTCATACTACCAATCGCCTCAAATGCTCGGACACGCTGAGGTCCAGAGGCTGATAAGGATTGCTTCTGTGGCGGGCCTGGGCGCCTGCTTGCCGTGCTCGTGTGACCCGTAGCTTCCTTTAGCCACGCTAATTTCGAAAAGCAACACCGTATTCACGAGCCTTCAACTAACAACCATCAAATTCCAGAACAAACCCCGCGAAAAGCGTCCGGCGACACGAGAATAAACAAACCCGGGCCAAGTTGGATGGAGTCGTTCACACGGCTTCCCATGGGCTCTGCCAGGTAATGGCGCGATTCCTGGCCAGAGTTCCAGCGGAGATATGCCCACGTTGCAAATGATTGGTCGGAAATGACGACGCAAGGTTCAAAACCTCAACAGAACTTGTCAATTGCTTTTGGGTCCTTCAAACAGCTTTAAGCGAGCTATCTCCGTGCTTCTATGTCATTGTCTTTCAAATGTTGAACGGGATATCACATTAAACCTACAGCTCGACCTTTACTGACACCGTCTTGGCACAGTTCCCGGATCCAGTATCTACTCTACAGTTTTGCAAAGCCAGCTAGCGATCTGCCATGACGATATTAGATACGACCAAAGATTTGGCCGCCCTCTTCTCCATACAAGCAAAGACAACGCCTGACCTGCCGGCCTTGGAAGATGGCTCGTCGTCTTACACATATGCTGAGCTGGACCAGAAGGTCTCTGCCTTATCGGACCGATTGCGCGGCTTCGGCGTTGGTCGAGACAGCCTCGTCGGCATCCTTCTGGGGAGGAGCGCTGACTATGTCATCGCCTGTCTCGCTGCATTGCGGGCCGGAGGTGCCTTCCTCGTTCTTGAGCTAGCCCATCCTCCAGATCTACTCGGAGAAATTCTCGAGGACAGCAACCCGAAGGTGGTCATCACGCATACTTCCGAGGTGGGCAAGATCCGCAAAGGGACGTCTATCATCACCCTTGACAAGCAGACAGAGGACAGTAATGGTCATGCGAAGGAGCCATTGCCCCTTCCAGACGACACCGATCTAGACCGCCTTGCATTTGTGGCTTACTCTTCAGGAACGACAGGCAAGCCTAAAGGAATAGCAAACCCCCATAGGGCTTCGGTGCTCTCGTACGATTTGAGATTCGGTGTTCAAGACTTGCAGCCAGGTGACCGTGTGGCTTGCAATGTTTTCTTTGTATGGGAAATTATTCGGCCACTGCTGCGTGGTGCAACAGTTGTCACAGTACCAGATGAGACGAGCTTCGACCCGGTACAACTAGTTGATCTCCTCGCATCCAAGAAAATTACCGAGACATTGATGACACCAACCCTGTTGGCAGCTGTACTGTCACGGCACCCCAACATCGGCAAACGTCTTCCGGATCTCAAATCCCTCTGGCTCAATGGCGAGGTTGTTACGACAGACCTGGCTCGGCGTGCACTAAAAGCTCTCCCCCAGACTCGTTTGTTGAATGTTTACAGCGCGTGCGAGACCCACGAAGTTGCATGTGGAGACATCAAAGAGATACTCAGCGAAGATTCCACGTACTGTCCCGTTGGTATGCCGCTGCTTCGCAAACGAACCTACGTGTTGAACGAATCTGGTCAGAAAGTCGACCTTGGTGAGAGTGGCGAGCTGTTTGTTGGTGGGCCACTATTGGCACGTGGCTACCTCAATCGCCCCGAGACCACAGCCAGGGCCTTCACTCCTGATCCTTTCAACTCTGCTCCAGGCTCCAGAATGTACCGGACAGGAGACCTTGCCAAGATCCACCCTAACGGACTGCTTGAAATCACTGGCAGGGTGGGCGCAATGATCAAGCTCAGAGGGTACTCGGTTGTACCAGCAAAAGTCGAGACCGCAATAATGAAGCACCTAGCTGTGAAACACTGTGCAGTTGTTGCTCACGGCGAAGGTCTGGACCGCCAGCTCGTTGCTTACGTCAAACCAGATGACGACGCCTCTGAGGATCGCCCCGTCATCGAGATCAACGAGTCGGGTCACAGCCCCAGCGCAAGAAAGGCACTTGGCCCATTTCTCGCGCAGTACATGATTCCTGCCCTCTGGGTCGAAATCGAGGAAATTCCAGTCAATGAAGTGTCTGGAAAAGTGGACTCGAAGCGTCTCCCACCGCCTCCGGGGCCTGCAACCCCTGTTACTGGACGCAAGACTCCCGAGAAGGATCCCATTAGCATCGAGGATGTTGCCGAGATCTGGGCCGCGACACTCAAGACGTCTGCCGCAAGCATCACCCCCGAGCACAGCTTTTTCGACCTCGGAGGGCACTCGTTGTCACTAGCTGAACTTGCCTCCCGCTTATCAAAGAGCTTCGGCTTCCGCATTCCAGTCGCCCGGCTGGCAGATCCACCGACTCTCAACGGTCATCTCCAAACCGTCCGTGCTGTGAGAGACGGTCAGATTGCTGCCGTTCAGGCAGATCTACCTGCTGTTCTAAAGGCAGACTCTATTCTCGATGAAGACATTAAAGCAACCAGTGCCAAGATGACTGCAGTCAACTCTGCCGATACGGTGCTCCTGACTGGTGTTACCGGCTTCTTGGGCGCATTCCTCTTGAATAGTTTGCTTCAACACACATCCGCGACCATTATCTGTCTCATCCGTTGTAAAGATCCGTCGGAGGATGATATCCCAGCTGGCATTGCTCGCATCAGACGCAACATGGTTGGTAAGTCTATATCCGCACCAAATATTCTTTGCATACCAGAGATCGATAGTTCTAGTCAATGTGAGGGAACTGCACATCTTCCTGGCTTATATGTTTTGTACTGCAGCAGAAATGTACTGACCTGATTTAGAGTTCGGCATCTGGAACGACAGCATCATGGAGCGATTGGAGATTCTACCTGCCAACCTAACACGCAAACGATTCGGACTGACGCAGGAGGGGTTCGATACACTCGCCGAGCGCACCCAAGTTATCATCCACGCCGCTGCGGCTGTGAATCTGGTCTATCCTTGTACGCTTTCCGTTCTTTAGCTGCATATGAGTAGAATTTGCTGACAATATCAGATGCCGCACTTCGCAACGACAACGTCGGCGGAACACGAGAGATCCTCCGCTTGGCCTCCAAGGGCAACGCTACGGTGCAGTATATCTCTACCAACGGCGTCCTCCCCCCTTCTCAAGGTGGTTGGCCTGAGGAAGCCACACTTGGCATTGAGCACGTGCCTGATAAGCTCATTGATGGGTACGGCCAGTCGAAATGGGTTGCCGAGCAATTGGTTGTCGAAGCCGGACGCCGTGGCCTGCCGGTGCGCATTCATCGCTGCGGTACGATCAGTGGTCACAGCAACACCGGCGCCGCCAACGCGTGGGATCTGCTCAACGCTCTGATCGTTGAATCGATCCGTATTGGGCACTATCCCGATGTTGAAGGCTGGCGCGCCGAGATGACCCCTGTCGACTTCGTCAGCGAAGCCATTGTTCACCTCGCCAACCAGACGCAAGCCCAACAGACCATCTTCCACCTCGGCGACCCGGACCCTGTACCCTGCAGTCAAGTCTTCTCCGACCTCACCGAGCTTGGCTACCTAACCTCCCCATTGCCATTCGACAAATGGGTTGCCCTCTGGACCGAGCAGCGCGGCAGCACCAAAGGTGGCGACGGCGGCTTCACCATCGACATCCTCCGCTCTGGCATGCCCAGTATCGAGTTCCTGCGCGGCATCGTCGTGCTCAACAACACCATGACGCGCCCCTTCCGCGCCGCCGTGCAACGCCCCAAAGTCGACAAAGTCCTGCTAGAAACCTATACGCGGCACTGGTACGCGCGCGGCTGGCTGTCCAAGCCGCCCGCCCTACAGCACAGCAAAGGCGGCTCGGCACAACTTCCGCGCTACGGGCCCCTCAGCGGCAAAGTGGCCATCGTGACTGGCGCATCCTCGGGCATCGGCGCCGCTGTCGCCGCCGCGCTCGCCAAGGAGGGCTGCCACCTCGCGCTCGCGGCGCGTCGGCTCGACGAGTTAGAAAAAGTCAAGAAGCGGCTCGTGGTGCGCGAGGGCAAAGTCATCATCCGCAAGACGGACGTGACGTCGCGGGAGCAGGTCGCGGCACTGGCGCAGGCGGCCGCCGATGAATTGGGACCGGTCGACATCCTCGTCTCGTGCGCAGGCGTCATGTACTTCACGCTCATGAAGAACTGCCTGGCCGACGAGTGGGACCGCACCGTCGACGTCAACTGTAAGGGCCTGTTGCACGCGCTTGCCGGCACCGTCCCCGGCATGCTGGCGCGGGGGTCTGGGCACGTGGTCGCCATCTCCTCGGACGCCGGGCGCAAGGTTTTCCCCGGTCTGGGTGTCTACAGCGCCAGCAAGTTCTTTGTGGAGGCGACGCTGCAGAGCTTGAGGCTCGAGACGGCCGGGTCCGGCTTGCGCGTCACGGCCGTGCAGCCGGGCAACACGCAGACGGATCTGCTGACCATGAGCAGTGATGAGGAGGCGGTCAAGAAGTATGGTGAGCCGAGTGGGGCGCAGATCCTCAGTCCGGATGATATTGCCGGCGCGATCGTGTATGCCTTGAGGCAGCCGGATCATGTCAGCGTTAACGAGGTGTTGATTGAGCCCAGGGATGAGCCGATATAGGTCGTTAGCTCGGTACTGAGGTGAGGAGTTCCAATACAGAGAAGGAAATGGGAACGGCTTCGGGGTTGCTCGCATGCGTGGCGGTAATGTCAGCTAAGCCTTCTGTGGTTATTTGATAGAGACGATTTGCCCTACTGAAGAAGCTGAGATATGGATCGTGGCTAACCCGTTTCTAAGCACGAAGATACCCACATGGAGGCACTGCTTGCAGATCTGGAAACGAGTGTTGCGGTGCATGATCAGTCTTGAAGGCGTCAGACGACTGAGACATGGTCTTCGCAAAGAGGTGTTCTCTTGTGGTAGACCTCTCTGTGCTTTTTGACAAGCACGGTTTCATGATTTTAGCCGCTGGTCGGCATCATGCACTGGTAGTGTCTCTCCTCTATCAGTCTCTTTGCGACCGAATGCTACAATTCCTCATCTTTCCTCGCCCAAGACTGTTCCCAACTGTCGCCATCATTACCGCGAAACCCGTGGCAGGACAGTCTAGTTCCCCACCGTCCTCGTCTCGAAAACCCCTGTTCACCATGTGACACTGTCCTGGCGTCTCTAAAAATCACTCCTCATTCTCACTCCTCATTCTCAATCTCGCCCTGGAACTTGGTCATGACCTGCTCCGCCACCTCCCAGCGCTCGGCGATATGCGTCTCCCACATGTGGGTATCAAACTCGTCGAAGCCCTCGAATCTCTTTTCATCCTCGCACAGGAAACAGTGCAGGATCGCGACATTGACGGTGTGCTCCTCGCTATCGTTGGCGCTGGGCGGGTGTGGCACGAGGCCCATGCTGGCGACCCGGGCGGCAACGACTTCGAAGTCTTGGTACTTTTGGTAGACGTGCTTGATATAGCGGCCGACGTATTGTTTGATGAAGCGGGCGCGCAGGTCGGCGGTGTGGTTCTCGACATAGTGGCAGAAGATGGACTGGAGGCAGCCGGTGACAGGCTGGGTGTAGGGGGAGCCTGGGCACTTGTGGCAGGTGAACTTGTGCTCGTTGCCGAGGGTGTAGGTGCTGGTGTAGTTGAAGGCGTGCGGCTCTTGGTCGATGAGTGGGAGGTAGAGGCTGCTGAGGGGGGACGGGTCGTCCTGCATGTCGATGTCGGAGTTGATGTCCGAGAAGAGACTGATGGGGCCGTAGCCACTGTTTGTGGCAGCAGACGGCGCGACGGTGTTGTCGGCTGCCTGTTGAGAATCTTGGCTCTGTGCCTGGGCAGTCTGGGAGGCAGCTTGGTGCTGGGCTGGGGTTTGTGCTGCGATAGCTATGGCGTTGGTAGCGATCTGGTTCAGGAGTGAATACTGAGGAGGAAAGGTTGGAGGGGGAGTGTGGTGCCTACATTTGGCAAAGAGGTGTTGGTGGCTGACGTAGCAGCAGGCAACTGCACAAGCGGGATAGTAGCTAACCAAATGGGAGCAGCCAGTTGTCGACTCGCGAACATATTCAGTATCTCTTGGTAGGAAGCAACAGGTGCTTTGGGGTCATTGTTGATGCCAGTGTAACAGGTTTTGTTGCTGAGGCGATCAACTTCTTCCTGCGATACAAGCTCCGCGGCAACTCTCGCTGGTATCAGCTTACAGCGGTTGTAGGGAATATTGCCACGGCCGTGAAATTCGGTGCGCTGTGGGTGTGCTGATTTGAAGTGGCGCGAGATTTCATTCTCTTCCCGGTCGATGTGGTTCCAGCAAATGAAACAGATTATGTAGCTGTTGTCTGGCAGTTCCTTGTGCTGTTTAGTGGATCTAGAGGCCATGGTGACGGCTCACAAGTATGGACAAATAAAAGGACTTTCGAGTGACAAAAGTTGTTAGCGGAGTGGTAAAAAGGTTGTAGACAAAATTGCCCGCACAGAATAAGTTTTGAGGAGAATGCCAAATCCATAACTCATCGTTGCAGTCACTCTCAGTCACGGTCATAGTTGCTGTCACTCCTAAGCTTGACTGCCTTCTCATGGTCACCATGGCACAGTGACTGCTAGATTCCGCAATAAGCCGGCACTAGGTCTCGTCACTGTGGCCAGTAACAGGTCTCGAATGATGAAAAGCTATTCAACACCGGTAGTGAGTATCTCGTTCGCTGTGTAGACTCCAAGCTAGAACTATAACTAATGGGGAAGTAAGGCAACGAGGCAACCTGGGAAGCCTTGGCCTGAACCTGACGGATTCGATAGGATGGCCAACACATCGCGGCCGAACGATAAGTTGGAGTGTCAGGATAAGAAATGATCTATATAGGCTTTCGAAGCATGAATGTGTGCTAGTGCTCTGGAATCCCAATACCGCGTCTAAATTTTCTGAAGACCCTCTATAGCAATAACAACTCACAAATAATAGCCCCCAATGTGTTTGACGTAATAAAGCATAAGGCCTTTAAGTGTCCTCTACTAGCTTTTGAATAGTTTACGGTTGTACTTTGAAGTTTGCTCCTCTTGATTGACTCGGCTCAAGCGTCGAGCTGCCGCGCACTCGCAGCCTCCTCCTGTTCACATTTCATGCCAAGCTGCCACCCTTCCCGCAAATGGTGCCGATCAGAGAATTCTTCGCAATCTTAGACCCTGGTACAACAAACCAAAGGCTATCGGGACACATACCCTATATACGTGGGAAGTCCACCCTTGTGGGGACACCAGTCTTTCGAAGTATCTAATCGTATCTCAGACCGTCCTCTTGGAGTGGGGGTTCGCTCCGCATACTTAGAAGTATGTGCTTGGCTGCCCAGAAAGCGACGTCACCAGCTTGACAGAACAGCACAGCCCTGGCATCGGGTCGTCCTTCATAGCCAGACTACCTGACTTGATAGTCACCATGTCGAGGACGGGGCCATGAGCATTCTGTTCTTCGGCGAGGTAGTACTGCTGATAATCGTTTCAAACGGAGCCAATTGTCATCCAGCCGGGTACTGATCCACTGAAACTGAAGAGCTGCCAGCGGCCGCACGACGTTGGAGGTTCCCACTACGGTTGCCTGGAAAGTTATCTAAGCAGCCTTGGCACAGGGTCCTTGGTCGGGAACAAGGCAACCACCGAGCCTCACCCTTCGTGTCAGTTTCAGGTTTGAGATCGCGATTTTCATCTCACTTCATATCTCGAGGTGGGGCTTGCAGTTTGCAGCTGCTGACCGCTGTCTCAATATATTCGGACCAAAAATCGAGTTGTCCTGGAAGTATCAATTGGGGAGCTTGAAAAGCAATCATGAGGTCTCGCAAACTGGCTTCGTCTGGAAGACTTGGACACCACTCCAGAGCCATTTGTAGACGAACGTCAGACAACAAGAAGATTTGAGGCAGTAGTTCGAGACCGACTCTTAAAAATCTATCCTAGTTGAGTCCCTTCACCCTTACTATCAAGCGATCGTGCGACAGGTGGCTGACATATCGGGGGAACACCGCGTTCTGAGCCCTAAGTCTTCGCCAAACGTCCTTTTAAGAAAAACATATTGTCTGTCTCTCACATAGACCAAGGTCTTGCAGATATCATCTAGAAGCCATTACCCTTCAGAAACTCCGTGATGACTTCGAAAGAGCCCGTGGCGTTCAACTAGACGTGATCCTTCGATCAGCTTTTGCGCAAGTTGAGGTGATTCATGCTTGAGGACAACTTACGCCAAGATTGATGGAGTGTCCACTGTTCGGATGCGAATAAGTGACAAGGTTCTTGGATACAGGGAACATCTCGCTGGCTCCCTTCTCAATAACACCAGGACAGTAGCCCTCGCAGGCGACGAAATCGTATTCGCCACTATGAGCTGTTAGTTTCTCTGTTGGAACTTGTAGCTGAGCTTTCAACTATATCTCACCTCATGATCTAGAAAGGACACTGGTCAGCAATGGTTTTTGTTTAACACAACGCCCGAAGACTCACCAGTACTGGACCTTCGAATTCGGGAGAGGTAGTGTTAGTCGCTCTGACAGTCAAATCCTCCACGATGGACGATGGCACCTTGTATTCCTCCGCCCACTGGAGTACCTCCTGATCATAGTACGGATACTTGAAGAAACTGTGCCTCCTATTAGTGATTGAAACGACCAACGCCTTTGAGATTCCCTACTTCTCAGCATTTGCATACTTGTCGACAGCGAAGTTGTATGCGCCATCCAGTTTATCATACTTTATCGGGTCGACGGCGTTTGCGACTCGAGATTGTCGGGACTGCAGGGATCGCGAGCTGTCAACGCCGTAGTAAGCGACACCAGTGAGAATGGCAGCGTCGATCAGGGCGGGATCGGAGCGCAGAACTGAGTTCGAGACAATGCTTCCGATGCTGTGGCCAACAAGGACGACCTTGTTGCTGGCAGGACTAGGGAACTGGCCAGCGCGGGCATGCTCGACGATGCCCTTCAGGATGGCTCCTTGATTCGAGATTTGCGCGACGTAACCGGATATACTGTGACAACGGCACGTTTAGCCTGGGTGTAGAAAGTGACCGTTCGACTTACATCTGGGACTTGCCAGTGGATACTCTATCGTAGTAGAAAATGGAGAACCCCTTCGCGATGGCAAAATCGACAAAGCTGTACTTCTCATGCTGAACACCAGGATGCCAGTATCTTGTTGACAGTCAGCAGCTGATGATCAGTGGCCGAAGGACATAAGTACGCTCTGTCGTATCCTCCACCATGGGTTGCCACCAGAAGCGTGTTGCTGCCTTCATTGGAAGGCTCGCAGAATGTCCCAGCGATCGTATAGACCGCGGTCTCTGCTTCCGTTGGAGGACTGAGTGGGCGAAACACGTCAGCCACGTCACGTCGCCCGATCTGCGCGCTGATAGCTGTTCTGTCATCGTTGCCCATGATAGGATCAAGAGCCCATTTGTAGTTCTCAGAGGTCGCATTCACGGTGATACTATACTCTTTGCACATTTTGGCTGCGGTGGTGGGGACGCTGCGTCCCAATACCGGGAGCAGGAACAGAGACGCAAGAAAGACCTGCATCGCAACAGCAACAGCGTTGGTTTGTGGCTGGAATGAAGTTCGTGATATTGAGTGCTGGCATGTCTTAGAGGACGGGGGAGGACTTCTTATATGTTCTGTCTTACGCTGTAGTTTCTTGGGATGGCGGTCATGCCTATCCCACGCATCCCTACGAAACACCAGTCCAAGCTACGTAGTTGAGGCATGGCCGGCCTTATGAGGGACAACAAGCCATCAGAGGTAGGGCCCCTGCTTTGACATCCAGATGTACATTTTGTCATAGTTTCAATGCTCGGTTGTCGGTACATGTGGTGCGATACCGGTACTCGCTCCGCGTGCCCGTATCTCGCTCATCGGACAGCGGGATGCGTATCTGGATCTCGCATTCCGGACACGCTTTCACTACAAGCTTGTTCAATTTGGCAACGCCTTGCACAGGACTATATGTTTAAGTCTAGGTTCACGAAATGGGATGGTTCTATCATGAATTGATCCTTTCCCCATGATTCCGAAACTCGGTCAGTATGAGATTCTGGAGTGGCCAAGCAATCCAGCACTCCCACTCCTTGCTGAGCTTGCTGTTGATAGTCTGAAGTAGACGTCTACTCATTCCTTGCATGTACCAGAAGTGGTCGACCTTGTTCAGCAATAATGAGTAATGGGCCAATACTACTAGAGCTTCCGGCCTCTCCTCTTTGACCATGGTGAAAAACGATTCTGGTGCCTGGATGGGCCACCCATAGACCACCAAAATTACATCAATGTCCCGGTCGACGGCAGCCGATGCCACCAAGCCATGGGCTTCACGTAGCAGCGAGAGCGCTTCGTTCAATGTTGCCATATCTTCACTATCGAACTTCCCTGGTGTTGAATTCCAGAGTTTGCTCAATGCTGTCAACTTGGCAATTGCTTCAGCATCAAGCACCCTTGCCAACTCGGGGTCCATCTGGCGTGGTCTCAAAAGCGATTGCATTGGACCGGATGTCATCCATTCGCCCGCTGCCCTGAGCAAAGTATGGACACCTCGTAGGAGGCTAATCCATTCGACGCTGGAGTCGGTCTCAGAAGTCGCCGCATCTGAGAAGAACAAATTGCCATGCTGGTCCGAAGATGCCCATGCGTAAGCGGCGACGAGTGACGAAAAGGTGAAACAAGCATCGCAGTTCTCAGGGGTGATGTTGGCCATAGCATCTCGGAACAATCTGAGTCCGGTATTATGGTGGGCAGCAGCCTCAGCGTGCAGGAGGCCTTTGCGTTCAGGTTGAAGATGTGCGATATGTAGCGCGGTGAAGGCCAGAATGGCATGCAGAAGGAAGAGATTTTTGAAGGCAATCTGAGGAACTGCCTGTTGCCAGATTTGTTGCAGCTCTGGACGGCTGGATAATGTTAAACTTGTTGATGTAGTGTAAAAGTGTAGTAGCTCGAGGTTGTTAACCTCGGAGTCTATGCGAGTGACTGTAGGCAGTGCTTCCGAGGGATTGGGAGTATCGTCGTCAGCGCTGTCGCTGAGTCCGACTGGGGGTGGACTCGTGGGTGATGATAGAGCACTCGTGCGTGAAGCAGGCGAGATGTTGGGCTGCAACTCAACGAACGAGCATCTGTTTTGGAACCTGCTGCAACGGCCACAGAAAGGTTTGCACTCGTCACACTAAGAAACGCATTAGCCCTCAGTACTGGGTTCGAGATCAGTAAAGATCGAACAAAGCACTAACCTTGATCTTTGCTTGCTTGCATTGCTGACAACCATTCCTGGACTTCCGATGGGGTCTCTTGTGGCTAAAGGCGGCCGATTTGGTGGCTAGGGTCATATTGTTACGCTGTTATACTCTTCGCTTGATATCGAGCACTCTGTAGGTCTTATTGATTTCCTTAGCTGTCGAAGCATCAGTAGTGGCAATACAAGCACTTATGCGACGATGCGCGGAAGCGACAACTTTCTACAAAACATAGCGTCTTTGCGACGTGGACGACGACAGGACTCAGTCAACATGGTACAACACAAATCATAGAGCATTAGCGTGTGTGGGAGCGAGCGCGACCGAGTACGAGCGCCGTAAGCTGATGATGAGTAAGCGGCCCTTATAGGCAGGGAACGATGGGGCCCGAGGTCAGACGATTGAGGCCTGTATCGCCGCTTCCCGCCTATAGATCCTGTACTATGATGGCGTTAGACCAGCGTACTTAGACTAATTCGCCAGCTCTGCGGCGACTGCCTGCATTTTCCGAGGCTGAATGGAGCCAGCTTGCGCCAAAAGACCTAGGCTCGCCAGGTCGGGGATAGGGAACTACCACAGGCTAATCATGTTCCTCCGGACTTGACATCAGGTTGTCTCTTGCTCGGGTCTACCATGATGAGCCTAAGCAAAGTGAGAATAAGGCACGAAGTCCCGAGGGCAGATTTCCTCTCCGCCTTATTTTTGCCTTGCCGGTGGAGCCTGCTGCCTTATCGATAACCATGACGTTGCTGTTTACCGTCGCAGCCAGTGCCTTCGTTCTTTTCACAACATCCCAAGGACACCTCGGCAGCATGTCGCTGGTGCAGTTCCTTGTACAGAACGAGCCATCATTCCGCGAATCTCGCCTACCATCGCTCTACTCTGACCTCTCGAACTTACGCGCCACCAACCCCGAAGGCTTCGCCGCCAATTCGCACGCGTGGACGTCCGCACTTACCTTACTTGCTGTCTCAGGCAACCTTCCGACGGAGCAGCGTATCATACTATCAACTTCCGATAGCCTTCTGAGCGTACTTTCGTCGCCTACTTATGGACGACCAGTCGGCCTCGGCGCCGTGTTGGACGATGCGGTGCGCGATGGCAAAATGATAGATATGTCGGACTTTGCAAGCGCAGACAAGAGCATATATGCCAGGACATGGCTACCGAGCCCTTGGGTCATACTGAAGTGGAGCCTACGCACAGCTGGTGTGCTAGGTCCTGGTAGCTACAACAAGTCTGGAAATCTCAAGGCTGGGAATCTTGTGCTCGTTCCGGTTCTGGAGGACATCACCAAGAAACTGTTAGCCTGGCAGCAGCGGCAGGGACAGTCTCCAACAGACCGCATATACACACGAGAGGCTTTCGGATCGGTCATATCTGAGCTGCTATCTACGGCTCAGCACTCCACGCCGCTAAATGCCAAAGACTTGGAAGTGCTGCTACTCTATCTATCTCGCGACAACCCAATCCTCACGTACGACGACAAGACTGTCAAACTCAAGCCACTAACCTCGACGCGACCTGAGCCAATTACTCCAGAGGATAGCGCCGTCGCCAATCTCAAATCATTGATATCGTCGCTCACACTTCAGACGACAGCACTGGAAGCCAGTGTAAACGAGAACCAACAACGCGCAGCCAGTGCAGTCACCGCCAAAAACAAAACCACCGCGCTCGCCGCGCTACGATCCAAGAAGTCCGCAGAACGCGCTCTTGCGCAACGCACAGCCACCCTCCAGCAACTCGAAGACGTCTACACCCAGATCCAGCAAGCCGCAGATCAGGTCGAGGTCGTAGCGACACTCAAAACATCCGCATCGGCGCTCAAGACCCTCAACAAGAAAGTCGGCTCGGTGGATAGCGTGGATGCCGTCCTCGACGAGTTGCGCGAGGAGATGCAGAAGACGGGCGAAGTACAGCAGATCATCTCGGAACCGCTCGGCGACGCCGGCGCCGCGGACGTGGCGGACGCGGAAGTCGACGACGAGCTAGAGGCTATGGAGCGCGAGGAGCGCCAGAAGGAGGAGGAGCTGAAGGTCAAAGAGACAGAGGCGCGGTTGAAGGAGTTGGAGGACCTACAACAGAAGCAGAAACAGCAAGAAGAGGAGAGGAAGGCGCAAGAGGAAAATACAGAATTGGAGGCGCAATTGGCGAAGAGTGTGGAGGATATGCGGAGCCTGGACCTAGACGGCAGAAAGATCGACGAGCGCAAACAAGAGATGCCGAAGGAAGCGGTGCAGGAAGCTTCTTGAGATGGATTTTACATGCCCTTACTGCATCAATCGCGTATTCAATGGTGACGGGGGGCATCTAGCCACCACGGACGGGGCTGGCAAGCTAGGCGAACTGCAAGCGCATTGGATGTGATGGGGCATTCACGTCTTTCATTGGCTTGGTCTAGGGAATGTCGTTCACAACGTGTGGTACATTACAGCGTGATGGAATCCGTACAAGCCGATTGCGTATATCCCAAAACATGCTTGAGGCTGTGGCGCTGATGTGGAGGGCGGCATGAGTATTGTTGCAAGGCCCGACCATGGTCTGCCATGGCAGGTCTAAGTTTATACAATGGACGTGCGACCGTAAAAAATCCCGCTCAAACAGTCTGGCTGAGTCGCTGGGAATGAGACGGTTCCTGCTCCTGGTTCGTGCCTTGCGGAGCCTTCCCACTATCTGCGCCCTTGTCTGTCGCCGTCGGCGGCGAAGTGAGGTCGATCCTGTCCTGCAGCGGCTGTGGCTGAATCGAATGGAGACCATTCGTTTGTGATAACGACCTCGGAGGTGTGCTTGGGACCAGCATCTGGGCTGGCGTGGCGGCAGCATCCCCATTGGGCGTATCTTCGCCCATCGTGATGTCGGCGTCATTCGCCGCCGACAGAGCAGGCGCAGCATCGATGTTGTCGCAACTCTCTGCAAAAGTCGTAGACTCCGTGGTCGATACCTCAACCTCGGCCTCAGTTGCCGGAGCCTGCTTTTTGGCCCGGGTCTCTCTCGCCTTCCTGATCAAGTCCTCAAAATCGTCCTTCTTCTTTTCCATATAGCCCTCGCGATCGAATTCCTTCTCCATAACGCCGCTGCCTCCAGCTCCCTGCCGCTGCCGTTCGTCCTTCCCAAAGTTACGTTCCCATATATCCAAGTCCCGAAGCAGCTTCCCCTTTCCCACCGGCATGCGGTTATCGCAGTTCGCATTCCACAGAGATACCCATTCGGCATGGCGTTTACGCATCAGCTCTTTGTTGCCGTGGTTAGGAATCCCCAACTCCTTCAGCTTTTTGCGCATAGCTGCCTCGGTAAGTAGGGAATAATTTATTGTGGGTAGTCGAGCAGCGGTGTTTGGTGTAAGCTTGGAGGTAGTATAGGCTATGGTCCCCGCTTGTATCTGTGGTTCAGGTGAGGATGCTTTCGCTCGCGCGGATGCCGCCCGTGGAGGTGGAGGCGTGGGTGAAGCGAGACCCTGTAAACATTTGTCGAGGTGCGAATTGATCAGTGCTTCGCGCAAGCGGCGATTACAGTTGGGGCAAGCGACCAGACCATCGTGCACCTCAGTAGCTGCGTGGGGTGGATTTCTGTCGACTCTGGGCGAGTCCCCGTAGACGCTGCCACTTTCGCTGTCTCCTATCTCCTCTTGTGTGGACGGGAGTGTCTGGCTTGCCGAGACGCTGGTCTGCGAGGCAACTCGTCTGCTCTGACTTCGTGTACTCCGCCGCTCTTCCAGCCCGCTTTTCTGCACAACAACTGGCTCAGCGGCAGTTCGTCTGCGCTTTTTCGGTCGCTCCTCTTGTCCAAACTCCTGTCTTGTATTGGCGGTCGTGGCAAAGTTGTAAATCTCTGTCCTGTTCTTTGACCAGATCTCGACGAATTCCTGTACAGCCCAATTGTTGCGCAACTTCATTTCTTGGTCGGGTTTCGTGCACGAAGGACACTTGCCTTCTTGGTTTAGGTATCGTCGTATACATAATGAGCAGAAGGTATGTGAGCAGCTCGTGATCATAGGGGTGCTGAGGATCTCTTTGCAGACCTGGCAACGGAGGGACGACTCGAGTGGCGCAAGACCGGCAAGCGGTGTCCCTAGCCAGTCTGTGCTGTCGGCCACGCCTGATGCATCCATGATAAAAGCCTGACTGCAAGTGCTAGCGAAGAAAGAGTTGCGACGCAGGAAATGCAAGTCCTGCTGATCTAATTGAGTAGAACTGTACCAAAGCTGATGACTAGAGAATCGCGAAATCGACGCGCTCGCACTTTCCCACCTTCACGCGTGGCGACGAGGCTGCGCAAGGCTGAGGCTATGGCAGAACTTTGGGATGAAATCGAAAAGAGTGACAGCGTCGCTCTGTGGAACCCGATTCCAATCTTCTCAAACAGAAAAAGTCTGGAGCATACGTTGGAGGCGATAATCATACATTTCATTCAAAGTCGTCCTCCGCAGCAGTCAGCGGATCTGACCTGAGCCTCACCGGACTCTTAGGTGCTCCTGCCTCCATGACTGCACCCGTGGTCACCAGCGACAGATTCCTTCTATGGCCCTTGTTTTCCAGGTCGTGCGCACCCATATCTTCTACTGTCTCATCATCAACCTCCTGTTGCATTACTTCGCTGGCACCGCTTAGGCCTCTATTCCTCTTTCCTTGCCCCAACTTTATTCGAATGGTGAATTGCAGCTGTTGCATAAATCCATCGAGCTCTGTGAAATGAGCTATCGAGTCGCCGTACTTGGTGTCAGCGTACAGCTCGCGCGCTTCGTCAAGCCGCTCGTTGGCATATGCCGCCATTCCGAGCTTCATCCATTCATCAGCAGCCACCACGTTCCAGAGAGCCGCCTTGCGCCTTCTAGTGCCCAGACTTGTAGTACCGCCCGCGCCAATTTGGCCACCAAAGCAACTTGCGATTCGCTCACTGAGGAGTACATGGCCGATACTGCCTGGGGTCACCAAACCTAGTTCGATGGCTTTGATGCCGTACTTGGCAGCTATCTCAGCTGCTGCTTTCCCGCGGACCTTGAGGAGTTCGAGACCGAGTAGCATGGCTCGCAGTGCGAGCATATAATCTCGGCTGCGAGTGGCATATGAATGCAGAGACATGTCCAGCATTTGATCGAACGTGTCTAGCTTGAACTTCGCGCTGGCTGTACCGGTCAATGGATTGAGCAAGCTAGCCACGCAGCAAATTTCATTGGCACCAGCTGCATACTTCCAAGCCTTGTCATTATTGTAGTCGGATCGGACAAGCTCCATGGTAGATGCAGCAAGCTTGTAGTCCCTCAGCATGAATGCAAAGGCTGCAAGTTTGGCCAGAATCGCTTCCGGAGTATCTTGTCGGTAGTAGCCCAGCGCAGCATCATAGTTGCCAGTTGATCCCGAACCTGTCAGTCCAGTGGTTGCAGAGTTTCGACCCGAACCACCGAAGCCTCCCCACCGACGTGAGATGGACATGAATCGACCAGAAATACCCTTTCTGCGAGAAGCGACCTGCTCGTTCCATAGGGCTATACGCTGCTCCATGTGTGGAATTACGGACTGAGCAACAAGCTCCCGAAGACAAGCTCGAATAGCGGCCGCGTCGGCTGAGAAGATCAAGGTTTCGTGAGACTCATCAACGTCGCCCAAGTCGGTGTTCTGCGACTGTTGTGATAGTTCATCCGAAGGTGCCAGCCATTCGCAACTGGGCAGTGGCTCCACCTCGTCAGTATCGGTGGGCGTGCCAGACCGGAGCCTGAGAAGGTGGCAATGCAACCCAAAATGCCTCTTCATCTGGTCAAACAAGGCAGAGGTCTTGGAGAAATCGTCGCGGTCCTCATCATGGACTAGGACGTAGTATCTCAAATACTCCGGGTTAGCATATGGCGGCAACGTTCTTGAGCCTTGGGCTGTCTGCTGATACAAATTACGCAATGTATCGATCGGTTGTGGTGTAGCAGATGTAATTACGATGACTGCGCACACGGGATGCAGGAATGCTTCGTGCGGGCTTATAGGGTGTCCCTGCAATACGCGGCTCAGATAGTATCGATAGAATGCCGAGGCGCCTACGGGATCGTCTTCTGGCGCATTTTGATGTTCAACGGCCTGCTCCATGAGCTCTTCCAGCCGATCCAGCTCGTTGGTAGTCGGCGGAGAGGCGGCATCTCGAGTAAGCTTTCCCAACTCGGCGATATGAACGCCAAAATCATCCCACGCTCTAGATGCGCCAACGCTGTCCCTAACCACCACTTTACCGGTGATTCGTTCTCCGTATGGACGAACGAGAGTGGCAAAGTCGTTCTTTATGCCTTTACTACGGGCAAGCACATCTGCCTCATCCGCCGCGCAGATTGCGACCAAAGGGGAAAAGGCGCGAACGATCAAAGTACGAATCTCGTCGTAATTTTCGGAAGGATTCGCTAACGGACTACCTATCGAAGTGCGGCCGAAGCGGGAAAGGGACATTGATAGTCTGCCATTGGGAGAGGATGATCGAGAGAGAGTGCTTGCAAATGTGGTGGTTCTAGAAGCGAGGGATGGACTCGCAGCTCGGAGGGGAAGGCTATGTGTAGATGCATTCGGAGCTTCTGATCTTGTAGGCGATCTCGCTTTCCGTACATCGACAGAGGAATTGGACTCGCCATCTTGTTGTTGCAGAGGATCGTCATCAGCCGGGGAGGTCATGGACAGCGATCCGGAGATTTAGGATGGGAGTTGTGAGATGATGGCCGGTCGCATTGGGTGATACGGGCGGAGGTTGTGGAAAGTCGATCGACATCAGCGGGGGCTGGCACGGTTAGTGTTCGTGCGTCTGCTGCGAGTGGGCGATCTAGGAAGAGCAGCGCAGGAGGTATGTGATAGCAGAACAGAGGAATGGCCGAAGATGCAGGATGACGACCGTTGAGCCTCAGAGGCCGCGCCCGCCACCGTAGCCTTGGCATTGCCGGAGGAACTTTCGACGTCTCCTCAGGTACCTCAACTACTCAACTACCTCGCCATACCGTTGTCTTCCTGCTCGCACACTGCTGTTCGACTTTGCAGTAATGCTTCAGCTCCCTCCGCCCAAATTACCCGGTTGCCCTCGTCGATGAAGATGAAGAATTTCGAAAGCTGTTCTCTATGGCCGAGGTAGCGATTATTTTGGTCAAATCATGGCTCGAGCCAAGGCTCAAGAGCACCTTGAATGTCATTCAGCTTCGACTAGGCTGCTTCGGGGTTTTGCATCAGCCTGGCATGTCTATTGGTGGATAGCGTCTTTGCAGACGAGCCAGGCGCAAGATCTTGACATTCATGGTGCGAACGTCCTCAGCATCAGCGCATCACATGGCTGACTTCCGTCTATCAATCTTCCTCGTGTGCGATGCGATGATACTATTATGACTCCTTCTGTGCCTCAGGGATTTAAGTTTGCGGTCAAAAGTGGTAATTCTGTGACACAAGTCACTGCGATCATAGACAAGGCTGGTATTGCCGAGTCAGGACTCCCGTGTTGCAACGTCAAATGGCCTACCCGAACCCTGCCGACGATGACTGGCTGTTGTCCAGTTTTATCGACTTTGATAACTTTGATCCCAGCTCAGGCAACCCGTGGACCTCTACGGATCCCTCAGAGCCATCCAACACTGCGGGTGTCAACACCGAGTCAAATGGGAGGTTAGAGAGCTACTTAGTACCAGAAGCAGTAGCCTCACGCCAGGCAAAGAAACGTCGACCATGTCGTTTCACCAAGAAGCAGCGCGAGGTAATGGATCAATGGATCACGGCAGCGACAAACGAGCCGTACTTGACCGCTTCAAGCCGGAAGGAACTTGCTGATGCAACAGGGTTGGCGCCCAAGCAAGTACAGCAATACTTTACCAACTTTCGAAGGCGGCACCGACAGAAGTTAGGTCAGATCTACGATCCGCCTTTCGTCCTCCAAGACCGACCCTTGACGACTTCGTGGCAGACTGGGTTCGAAGGTACCATTGATCGAACGTGCGAGGAGGCCGACAAAGTCTCCGGGCATGACGTAGATTCTGATGGGCCAGGATTATCGATTGAAGCACGACCTCCCAGTCGTCGCTCATGCCAATCTTCCAGCAGTGCTGACTCTGCGCTCTCTTACACGGACGTCTGCGGCAGCGCAGCAGCACTGCATCAAGCGAACTCAGCAGAAGCTTTTGCAACTTTCAACGGCACCTTGCTCGAGTTCTACTTGCTGACGGTGCACCAAAATCAGGCCGCTTCTCCCCGGGATAGTGCTGTGCCAGCTCTACTCGAACGCAACGATCGCCCTACACACCTCACAAGCCCAAGCGAAAGTCCCACAAAGGCAGTTCATGCGCTGACCGACACAAATCCATCCTCGCCGGAACTGATTGGGCCTGATGAGCCGTTATCAGCGTCTGGCAGCATCTTTTCTGGGCATAGCTATCAGCATTCGACCGACAACAGTGTAGCGTCTACGAGCAGCGTCTTTTCGACAGGTTCAAGACGTGGTCGTCGTGTTTTCGGTTCTTCCAATGCACGGGCAGCTGTACGTCCGGCGTCGAGACTTGGAATCCCTTGCTCGCAATGCGCCAAAATGTTTACAAGAGCATACACGCTCAAGAGACATGTAGAAGCGGTCCATGAGAACAAGCATAGATGGATCTGCAGGCCTTTACCCCAAACATCAACCTCTCGGAGTCTGATATGCCCCATTTGTCGTCAGGATGCAATGTACTGCAGCCATGACATGGGCAAGTGCTGGTCAAAAGCCCAAGGAGAACGTACTTTTTCTCGAAAGGACGCACTAAAACAGCATCTAAAGCTAGTACATGGGTACCGGACTCAGCAAGTCCAATACGTGTCGACTATTAAGGATGATGTTCTAGATATGCTCCATGAAATGGAAGCATGTGATGAGGACGACTCAAGGTAAGCCACGTTTGTCGCACCGCAGTGAATGTCCATCCATCCCAGCACAACTCCCACAGAAGATATGACACTGACTGGCCTGTAAAGATCCCAAGTGATGGAGCAACATTGCCTGTGTTCGTTCTGTTCCCGGCTGTTCCTTACCAGCCACCAAGATGAGACGTACCAAAGTCTGGTGACAATCGAAAGAAGCACTACTCACGAACTTTCAAGCTGCGTAACCTCGAGGTCGAGTTGGCGCGAAGGATCCAAGCCTTGTGATTTCTGTGGTGGTCGACCACCACATTACTATATCTTCGATTGGGCCCACAGAATCGATTGCCTGATCGACGCGAACGAACCTAAGGACTTCGACTCAGGCAAAGAGTTCCGCAAGGCCCGCGCACAAGACATCTTCTCTCGGTACTGTAGATTCCGCGGCATGTTAACGATGACGACGTGGCGTGAAGTGCTGATCGAAGCGAGCTGTAAGATTGTCAACAACTACTGGCTTTCGTACCCACACCCAGAAATCGTTGTCGACACAGGTTCCGAGGCAGTCTCGATGGCGGATCGCAGCACAATCATATCGCCGGCGGACAGCTTCGACTGCACCACGGCCATGCAGGCACTCGAACTGCCGCTTTTCAATGCAGGCTAGCTCCAGGGTTTATGCAGACCTCTTGATTCCCCAAGATGGTCTCGTGCAGCCACCAATTGCTATGTCAGGCGAGCAGCTAGAAGCACTGGTGTTTAGATGCTTCAGCAACGACATGAGTCAGATCCCAGGCTGACCCATGACCGTGAGCCCGTGTGGAAACGCAGTGCGACATGAGGTGGCATAGCCGGGTACATGCGAAAGGCCCCGATGTATCATCTGCCGAGAATTGTTGTACGTCGTATTAGTTCAGGCAATATGCACCGTCTCAAAGGCATTGAAGCGTCGCAAGTATCTACACGATTTGCGGTATTGCCATAGAATCCAGTGTCGCCGCAAGAAATGCGTTGTGACTGAATCTGGTAGTAGACGTGCCGTTTGCATCTCAGAGGGCGGTTTCCACGCCGGGTCCAGTGTCAAGAGCCTTCTCTTGGAGTTGACCATCTTTTCCAATCCAATGATAGTCAAGGAGTGTCCCGGCCGCTGCAGATAGATTGGCGCCTTCTTAGTTGAGCGCACCCTGGACAAAGAGTTGACGATTTTGGCTTCTTCGGCCGAGGAGAAGTAGCCTTCAACAAAGTCCAGCAGTTCCTCTTGCGCGCCGACTCCATAATAGCCCTTCACGGTACAAGGAACTCCAAGGCTCAACAGCAGTGCCTCAACCTCAAAAGTCCCGACATGCTTCCGTGTACCCCGGATTCCACCCGTCTGAACCCTTCCAAACGGGTTATGGCCCTCATCCCAAGCCTTCTCGATCATATCCTGCATCCGGAGAACATTCATACCTTCCGCCGCTAGACCAGCGCCTAACGCCAACATCTGGATATTCCGATAGCAACAGAACGTGGCACCTTCGCATGGGATCTTGGACACCTGCACAACGACATCAGTGCAGAGATAAGCCACCTGGCTGCGCTTGTCGTGCTCAAACAATTGAGCCAGTTTGGGTATCACCCCCTCCAGCTTGTTGGATTCATCTTCGCTGGCGAGCAAGGCATGTAAAGCCTCAGGCATCTGCCCTTCGAACGCATAAGGCCCGAGTTCGCGCTTCTGCGGGACAAGTCAGCCGACATCTCTTCACTTTCAGGAACCACTGGCGGGACAGACTCCAAAGCGACGATAGACATGCTGCCCGCCCTCCTCCATGCAGGAGTTTTCATATAGAGCGCGAGAAAGCAAGAATCGTGCAAGCTGAGTACTGTACTGCCAACTGCTACGTTCAAGACCAAGCCTCGACCGTTCTGGCCCCGGAATGCGGCTGACTACTTCGTTCGGGTCTCACCGAGGCCCAACCCGTAGAGACACGCGGCCTAGCTCACCAGCCAGTGACGTTCTCGGGTGCTGGCACTCCAAAACAAGTTCAGCAGGGGCTTCGTGAGCGCGAAGCCAAAAGGCCTGCGTAAGCCGACTTTGGAACACAAACGAGCTGAGGAGATCCAAGAAAATCCATCTCGCTTTCCGAGAATAGCAACTAGCAAAATGCAATAAAACCTGGCGACCCAGGGGTGTTGCCAGGGGGGGTTGCGAATTACCTCACCAACCAAAGCTTCTAACCGCACCCGAAAGCTTGTGTTCGTAGGTAAAAACGATCCGTAGGTAGATTTTGTGTCCCCCCGTCCCGATTGGCGTTCCTCTCGAGATGCATTCAAGGTTCCTGACGTGAACTGTCCACGTAAGCCCTGTGCTGTTGACCCCGGGGGAGAGGCCATACGCCGTGGACAGCCCGATATTTCAGTACCCTACCTGGATTTCACTGGGCAGCGATGAACCTTTGTTTTCCTTCTTGTAAAGATTTGCTTTGCTGCTGCTGCTGCTGCTGCTCCGTCTTCACTCTCCCGTCACCTCAGGAACCATCGCGAATACAATACACTACTGCTTCCTGCACCTAACACCAGAACCAAATAAGTACAAAAGGCCTTTCCTTCTTCTTCTTCTTCTTCTTCTTCTTCT